TTTTTGTACTCACTTGTTATTCTTTTGTTGGAAGCCGTGAGAGAATCTCTAAAATGCGCCCACCGGAAAATATGCTGCCGCTGCTTTTACTTGCAGAGTTGCAATCACAGTCCACAACACTACTTTTAACTTTTCTTTCATTTTCATTTATCATTCCTTTTCCTCTTTTTCTTTTCTTTTCTTCGATACCAACATCAAGTTTCTTATTGCTCTTTTTTAATTCAAATATTTTAAATAATAAAAGAGCGAAAATAATGATATTTTAATATTAAAAATACAAACTGATGGCAACATTGTTTTTTAAATTATTTTATAATTATGATTAGGCAATTTTAATACTTTTAATGCCAAAATCCTTGATTTTGTTGTATTCTATTAAATCCAAATAAGGATGGGGAATGATTTTAACAATGGGTGGCCAATGAGGCCTTTTTTTTTTTTCTTTTTTTTTTTTGGTTTCCCACTCGACATATGAGGTTTCGCTTCGATTAATTCAGACTCAACCCGCGTCGCGCACCTGAAAATTGTGGGTGAGTCTCCCAGCGGGAGCTGCTACATACACAAGGACTCGAACTTAAGACCTTAGTTAAACTGGAACAAGCCGCTTACCACTTGATCCAACCCCTCGTTGGTAATGAGGCCTCCTTTGGTATAATGAAAAATGGGTATTGAGGTTGTGAGTTTGAATATCACATTTTTTAGATTTTAATCAAATTGCCTTCTGATTTCTTATGATCTTCTATATTTTTTTTTTTGTCATTAATTCTTCTTTTATGAAAGTTGGTTATTAAATTTAGATAACGGTTGTACTTAGACATTATGGAAGATGAATGTTACCTATTTATGAGCATGTACTTTGCACCAAAAAAATTAGGTCTTTCTATATTTCTGTTGTCTAAACTATTTTTTATTTTTCACTATATAATAAGTATAATATTTTTATATATCGTATTTTATAAATGAATATATATCAATTCACGTATAATGTCAAATAAAAATTATTAATAAAATGTCATGTTATACCATATAAGTTATCCTATGAGAAAACATTATACATCTATTATTTGCCAATAAATTTGATTAGGTTAGTTAGTTAGTCCTCTAAAAATGTTATTCATCCAATGGATTTGTATTCTTTTCCCAATTATGTAAAGTGGGTGGAAACTAATAATAAACTCATAATAATGTAGTTGAGATGCCACCTAAACAAAACATAAACAAGATAAATAAATAATGGGGAAAAAGGATTATTTGGGAAAGGAATAAAGGATGTTGGGTCTAACTAATTAGTAGTTATTTATGATCTAGCTGTAACCTACTACACATTTGAGGTGTAGTTGTTTTCCCCCCTAGTTTTGTGAAATTCAATGAAGAATGGTATTATCTCAAAAATAAATAAATATTAAATAAATAAATAATTAGTAATGGGGGTGGGGGTAGGGGGGAATTAGAGTTGCATCGGAGTGCTGTAAATTTGGACCACCAAGCCCAAGGGCATTTTTGTCGTGTTGGGAAAACCGAATATATTCCCTAATTAATCATTGTTTATATACTAATACTACATTACATATTCACTTGAGCTACATCCATGATCCACCCAATAGACTGTCCCAGCCCCAGTTCCAAAGAGAGGTATTTAGGTCTGTTTTGCTTTTGTTGTTCCCCAGTAAATCCACTATCTCCCATCAATTCTTTTTTTTTTTGCCCCAAGAAATTTCAATTTTTAAAAAAGTTATATTATTATAGTAGAAGTGGCTCAATAATAATACTTTTGAAAAAAAATAAGGAATTTTTATTTCAAATAAAAAAATTAATCACAAAACATCATATTAATCAATCTATTTCAAAATATAAGTTATTTAATTTTTTATATAATTTTAAAGAATATTTTATCATAAGAAAAAAAATGTTTTTTTTCACAAAATTAAGTGAAAATTTTTAAACTTATCATTTTAATTAATTTCCATTAAAAGGACAAACATTTTAGATTTTAAAATTAAAATGAGAGTATTTTAGTTTTTTATTATATTTTATTAAAATAATATAGTTTTAAATTTTTTATCTAATTTTTGTACAAATACAATTAATAAATACTAATATCTTTTTATAATAAATGAATAATAATTAAAAAATTTTATATGTAATTGATATTGAGTATTTTTATTTTATCAAAGAAAATTTTAATTACAATTCATATAATATATATAAAAAGTGGAGCAATTTATATTTTAAAGTAGAGAGAATATATTGTACAAAAATATTACATTTAATAATATTAGCATTTTTGTTGATTAAATAATGACAACAAAACAATAAAGAGTCGGATTTACCATGGGATAAGTGTCGGTATTTCTTTTTGAAATAAATAAAACAAAATGTAGGCCCACGTATCAAACAAATCAAACTAGTTTGATCAAAATAACAAATCAAACTAGTAGGAGGTTTTCCTGACGCAGAAATAGTAGGCGATTTTAATTGCTAAAAAATCTTTATTTGAACTGAATAGCCCTTAATTCGGAACAAAGCAATTCATATAGCAAAATTTTATAAAAATTAAGTTGTCTTAGGATAATGTTGATAAAAAAATATTGTTACAGCCATGTTAGGTAATAATTTTTTACACAAAAATGAAATTTATCTTTCACTTGTAATTAAATAGATACATATATTATATATATTTATTTAAAATAATCATCAAAAGAATACGTAAATTTTTTCTTTTCATTAAAAAAAAAAGGAGACATAAAATATCAAAAAAAATTTCAACAAAATTTTGTAGAAACATAACGCTGATTTTTAGAAAAAAATTTGAATAGAATTAAAAGAAAACAAATAGATATATTTCAGTAATTTTTTTAATAAATATTTAACTTATTTCCTAAGTTTAGGATATTACTTATGTTTTACAAAATTAAAAATATTATAATTACAATATCACTTAATATTATAATTTTATAACATTATATATTATTATATACTTAATTTTTTAATTCAAAATTTTATTTATATTTTGTATTTATTTATTTATTTAATATTGTATTCATTTAATAATAAATTTTAATTATAAATTTATAATTTTATATAATATTATAATTATAAAATTTTTTTAACTTGTATCACAAAGACAC